ACAAGCTCTGAGCACCCTCCAAATCCCGAGTGTCCCCACACAGTTTCAGTCCAGTCTGCCTTCCCTCTGCCGGAGTCCAATGTGAGTGGCTGCTGCCAATTTAGCCTCTGTCCCGGCTCTGCGTCATGGAGCGACCTGGGACTTTAACCTGAGGGTGCTGCTCCCAGCTAATGGCGTCCGAGGCTGCGGCACCAGTCGAGGGCATAGCACCCAGCCGAGGTGGCCGCAGGACCCAGCTGAGGCAGCCGCTGGTCTCAGCCGAGGCCACAGGACCCAGCCAAGGACTCAGCTTCCAGTCAAGTCCGCTGGTCCCAGCCCAGGCCGCTGCGGACCGTGGGCTCCCGGCCCCCTCTCGTGTCCTCGCAAGCCTACCAGGATTGAGTCAGTGTCCTTGGTTATGTGGTCCTCCAAGCTGCCTTTTGGTTGCCCCTTCCTGACAATTTGTCTTTATTTTCGTTTGGTCCTGGGAGATGGTCTGTGTAGCTCCATTCACTCCGCTGCCATTTTTTCCCCTCTTTTTTTATGTTTTCTATATCCTTTTTATACTTACTGTCTCTTGTTGTAGTTCCCCTAAGTTTTGTGAGCATCCTTATAACCACTGTTTTGAACTTTAATTTTGCATTGATTTCTATTTTCTGTGGATATCTTCTTTTCTTTCATTTGGGTCATGTCTCTTTGACTTTCCATTTTGAGTTTCTCTGTTTGTTTCTGTGTATGAGGAAGACATGCTGTGTCTCCCGGCCTTGGTAGTAGGTGTCCTGTGTGGCTCAGTGGCACAGTCTCCTTGATCACCTGAGCTATGTTCTCCAGGAATGTCCCTTGTGTAGATTATGTGGGTCCTCCTTTTGTAGGTGAGTCTCAATTGATTTTGGCCCATATGTGGGTGGGGTTGACCTTCAGGCTGGCTGACTATGAGAATTGACCCTGACTACACTGTACTAACTGTTGAGTGGAGGCTGACCACATGAAGTGGAATTTACCCCAAGAGGGGCAAATTGGTTTCTGTATGTTGATTTTGTGTCTTGCAACTTTACTGAATTTGTTGATTAGTCCTGACTGTTTTATGATGATCTCTAGGATTTTCAATGTATCCTATCATCTGCATACAAGGACAATTTTTCTTCTTCTTTTTTCAATTGGGATAACTTTTATTTCCTTTTCTTGCCTGATTTCTCTGGCTAAGACTTCCAGTAATATAAGTGGACTGGAAAAAGTGGGCAACCTTATCTTGTTCCTAATATTAATATTAGAGAAAAAGCTTCCGACCTTTCACCATTGGGTATGATGTTAGCCGTGGGCTTGTCGTCTATGGCCTTTATTATGTTGAGGTATGTTTCTTTTATACCCAATTTGATGAATATTTTTATCATGAAAGGATGCTGCATTTTGCCTAATGTGTTTTCTGTATCTGTTGAGATGATCAAATCACATTTATCTTTCATCCTGTGAAAGTGGTGTATGTATAATGTTTATTGATTTTTGTATGTTGACCCACCCTTACATCAGAGTGATAAATCCCAGTTGACAATGATGTATGATCCTTTTAAAATGCTGTTGAAATTGGTTTGTTAATATTTTGTTGAAAATTTTTACATCTGTATTCATCAGGAATATTAATCTGTAGGTCTCTTTTCTTGACATGTCCTGTCTGGCTTTGGTATCAGGGTGAAGCTGGCCTTGTAAAATGAGTTGGGGAGTTGTAAGGATATATTTAAAATGCAGATATTAGGGTCCCTTTCTATTTAGTTTTTGGTCTATGATATATTTATCTGTTTTTTTTAGTACAACTGTTGTCATATTTTTTGTTTTCTTATTTTGTCTTTCATTTTTCATATTTAGAGCATGGTGGATGAAGGTGGTAGTAAGTTCTCAAAATGAATTCACACAAAATCTCGATCAAAATACATTACTGCTGCTGCTACCACTATCATTACTACAAATATTTACTGAGAGGTTCCTATGTATCAGGCTCTGCTGAGTGCCTTCTTGCTGTCTTTGAATATAACCTTTCCAGCAACCCTTTAGAAAATCCTGAGTTATAGATGGCAAAACTGAGGCTCAGAAAGGCTGCAGATGACTTGCCTATGCTTATACCATTAGCAACTCTTAGAGCCTAGATTTAAACTTGGGTCTGAGATCAAAGCCGATATACTTGTCCTCCACTTTGGACCACTCTTGACAGTATCCTCCTCAAGGCTGCCCCTCGATGCGCTTAGGTTTACTGTCCAGAGAGAAAGAATGTTGTTCCGTTGGAAGGAAACCTATCATCTGTATAACATTGTCTCTAGGAAATACCCTTCTGAGTCTCAGAGCGCCCTGGGGGCTGGGGAGAGCTGCGAGTCACCACTTGTTGAGAATATGCCTCTTTGTTCTGGAGAAAGCTCATCCAAACCTCTCATCCAGTTCTATCACCATTTAGGGCACCTGGTCTTGCAGATGCAGCCCCTTCCCCCATGAGAAAAGGCCTCTTTGCATGGTCCAGTCATTTTGAGGGTGAAACCACATTGTAAGGTATGAGACTAGTGTAGGTAAAGCGCAGGTAGATACTGGGATCCAGTTCCTCCTGGCCAGCTCTTGCCCTTGGCAGTTCTTGACTTGAAGTCGAACCTATGAATGGCCTTCATGTTTGAGCCACCAGTCCTGATGGGCATGGGACAGAGTTAAAGGTTTCTCACCCCTGTCAGCAGCATTGGAAATGCTGTAGCCAACCTGCAGGACGCATGTACTGTACTTAGAGTCAGGTGGGCCTCTGACCACCAACTGGACCTGGAACCCTGATCCCTGGGTACTCAGGCACCATCCCTGGAACATTATTCTCGCCGGTAAACTGTCTCCTCCTCAGCTTGCTTGGGTCGAGGCTTCTGCCTTGAGCCCTACCTCACAGTTTGAGCCATGGCCTCTCTAACACTACAGATCCATGCCCGCCCCCTCCCCCCCATTTCCTACCACACCCAATCAAGACCTATTCTGATGCTCCGTCCATCTGTTGTGTATATATTTGTTCTGCCTTGCTCCTTCAGGCCCAGTTCCCTATGACCGAGGATGTTTTCCACGCCCTACCCCCAGGCTGGGTCTTGCTGCCTGGATGACATGACACTTGAATATATGTCACAGCCTGGTTGGTTTTCCATAACCTGGTTTCTGATCCTGCCTCTCTCCTGTTCTAAGGTGACAGGACTCTTCAAACAGTGCTTGCTTGATCGATAACACCCTGGCTATCAGTCCTTGCTTATCACTGTTTTTTAATCACTTGCACCACCATTTGCTTCAAAAAGTCCACTCCTTTGCATAACTAATTTCAGAGAAAATTTAACTCTAGAGGTAGTGACTCTCACATGCTTAACCTTTTCCCCTCTTGAACACAAAAAGGTTGCATTTTGATTTTTCTGTAGAGGAAAAGAAAATCTGGAATAAGGACCATGTTCTGACTCCCAGGTTCGTGGCTTTTATCATTCTGCTGGTACTGCTGATTGGGTGTGGTTGGTGTGCACCCCGGTGTGTGTCTGCATGCAAAGGCTCAGATAGCAGGATTCTGGAGATATCTGTAAGTCAGCTTAGGAAGAATTGCAGGACTCACTTAAGGGAAAAGCTGAAGACAGACAGCCCAAGTGGGCCTGTGAGGTGCTGGGTAGTGAGTGAGGAAATCATTTTACTAGTGTTAGCAACAATTCACCCTCTTTCCAGGCCAGAAAGATGGTGACTGTTGGCATGGGGACAACAATTTATTGCTGTTTTCTTCAAAGAATAAAAAAAATCAGTGGCCATCATGGGGACAGGACAAAATTTGAAGGATATTAATAGGGGATCTGATTGATTTAATTTTATTTTTGAGGAATACATATTCCTTTAAGCATGAAAAATAGTACACATTATTTATGGAGTTATATGAGGTCTTATGTGCAGAGCAGAAAAATATGCATGGGGGAAAAAGATGTTTTCTCCTATTTTAGTCAGAAACTCTTACAGCTTCATTTGTGGTTTAGTAGGTATTTGAAATGAAAGGTCAAGGGATATCACAAGGAAGAAATCTCTGCTCAGATTGGTCACTTGTCCCAAATTCTGCCCTAAGACATATATGCTTAATTTCCCACTACAACAATTGTGTATATCTGCCCCTCCTCAAAGACAACTTACAAATATCTGAGTGGATTTCTGATAGTTAATGTAACTATATTATTGTTGGCTAATTCCCAATTGTTTACATGTGATTGTTCACTTGTGAGCAATGGACAAACACATCTCGAACCCTGCACAGGCTGGACCAGCGGAAAGAGGCCTGGGGGTGAGGAGACCGCGAAGGAGATCGCACAGGGCTTCAAAGTGGAAGGTCATCACTAGAGGTCAGTTGTTACTACTGTGACATGTGTCCGCTAAATGCACAACTTTAGGCAAAGCCACTTGCATTCTCTTATGTATAAAAGTGGCTTGTCTACACTCTGGGATTATGGCAATAATAAATGAAAATAAAGAGCACTAAAAATGCTTTGAGCCCTGGCCATTGTGGCTCAATTGGTTGGAGCATCATTTGGTACACCAAAAGGTGGCGGGTTCGATCCCTGGTCAGGGCGCACGTGGGAGGCAACTGATCGATATTTCTCTTATATTGATGTTTCTCTCTCTCTCTCTCTCTCTCTCTCCTTTCCTCTCTCTAAAATTAATTTAAAAATGCTTTAAAAAGTAACAAATGACAATTTGGGGTAAGCACTGTCATTTCCCTGATCTCCCAGCGGCTTCTGGAACGGCACTGTCATGACTGGGGCCTGCCCCTGGAAGGCAGAGAGTTTCATTGTTCCCTGAAGGAAGCAGGATAAACAGGAAGTCCAGGCTATGTGGGGTATCATCGCCAGTCAGCTAGACACAAGGGAACTCTGGCTTCCTCCCGTTTGGTTTGAAAAGTCATGGCTTGCCTTCCAGCCGCATGGAGGACTGCCTAGCGGCCGCCTGGCCCTGCGTTTCCTGAGGTGCGGCGGCCTCAGGGACCAGCAGCTTCAGAGGGTTACCTGTAGGTTGTATCAACGCTCAGGTTGGCTGCAGCTAACTCGGATGGAGGTATCCATGCAGGTAATGTGTTCCCAGCGACCCATTTTGTCCACTCAAATAAGCCAGGCTCTACACGAATCTTCAAGTGATTTTCTTGTTGTAAACCTTCAGGGTAAGAGAAAATGAAGGTGAAGGAAACACCACGATGTTTTCAGTGAAAAGGTAGAGACCAAACTGTGATAACAATTCTGGTCAATCTTCACCCTTTCTTCAACCAGATACTAGGTATAGCAAAAAGAAAGTGGAAGCATGTGGGTTTGGGTTTTTAATGCTTGTGAGTTGCATACATATGAACGACACAGGGCCGCACCACCAGAAGAGGATGCATGCTGGCTCGAAGTAGCACGTCGTTTAAGGAAAAAAATCACAACTCATTACCCCATAATTTACACAGGTCTACAACTGTGCTTCTTTCTTCTAAAGTAAGTTCCAAGACTGCCTTACGGAGAAACTTCAGAGATTCTCTTAGCATCCACTGGTCCACAATGGCTTACATTTCATTTTAATATCACATAAATTATTCATTTTCTCTATCAGAACATGTAATGCTGAATATTTACAAGGGCAGACACAAGGTCCGTGCTTTATTGTGGTGTGATTCACCCTCAGAGTAGGAATTGTCTCTCTTTTTATTGCCTTAAGACAAGTTTTTCTGTGCAAATTTAATACATAACAAATTTTAATATGTAAGTGCATTCTAGTTTACTTAAGATTAATGAATAGCAGTCTCTCAAATATAGTGGCAGGTCTTTGTTGGCTCAGCTATTTCTGGCTTATTCATTTGGTGTCAGTAAACAGTCCGTCCCGTTCCTTCTAGTTTTCAGTGAAATGGGAATGGTGGTCCCTAGGACTCAGGCTTCCATGGATTTCAGGGTGCAAGTTGACTACCTGTGTAGTAATGGTGCTTTAAAGTCACCCCAGTACAGAAACAAGGATGATTAAGGTTTGCAGAAACCTCGGACACCATTGCTAATGGAAACGGGAGGCAAGCAGAGCAGAGCGGCAGGAAGTGACTTCCTCGTTTCATGCTCTGCGGGTTCTAAATGATTACCAGACAACAATATTTCACATGCCTACAATTCAGCCAAGAAAAACATTTTCAAGAAAAAAATTATTTGTAGACTCCTTTTCATCACACTTATGCTGCTAGAATATGGTTTTGGGACTTTTATAGAGATATCTTCCAAAAGAATCATTGCTAAAAACTCCAAATTTGAAGCTTTTCCTTGGCAATGTCCCATGAGGGTAATTTGGGTGTAGGGCTGCCTGGAGCCAGAGGGATGGACTAGTTGACCTTTATTGAGTCTTACCTTTCAAGATGTTGTATGCAGTCTGAACACAGCGCAGGGATGGGGAACAGTAGACGTGGTCAATAACGGTGTTACTTTCTAATAAGGCTTCACCTGCAAAGAAAACCAAAGGAGAGTCAATCTGATGGACTCAGCCTCCGCTGGACCCTCAGTGCTGGAGAAGAGGCAGGAGACCCTGCTAACCCCTCTTTTCCAGGGAGGGATCACATAAAGCCAGCAGTTTCTGCCTTTTTTGTTCCAACAAATCCCTTGATAGAGATTTGCTTCAAGGAAAAGAAGCCAAAAGACTCCTTGTCTTTTTCTTTTCTTCTCTCTTGTCCTAACAAGTGGCAGAATGTCCTGGTAGGAGAGACCTAGAAACATGATGATGCTCTGATCAAGTCTGCGATAAAAGTAGGAGGGTTCATATTCTGAAAATTAGTTCTTGATTTAATTTTATCCTGTGCTAAACAAGATTCCAACTTGTCGTATTCTTGGACACCAGAGGTAAGTCTCCACACCTGATACTTCAACACTTTCCTCACGGAATCCACTTCTTGCAGACGTCGTGACAGTGGTCCAGCTAGTCCATGAACTTGCTTTCACCCCTCGTGCCAGCCTCATCTATTGCCCCGCTCACTAGAAACAAGACAGCCTGCACCCCGCTCTCCGGACGCTGCTGCTCTCTTCTCCCTGAGGACGCCCTGCCCTCCCCGCTGCTCCTCTGCCCAGCTGGCTTCAGCTCAGGTCCCAGCTTCCCTCTCTTCCCCTCTCTCGCCTTTTCTGTGCTCCCACAACTCTTGTTTCTCTTAGTTAGAAGGATGAAATCAATGTAGTCTTTTAAATTTCGTTTTCCAGTTGCAGTTTACATTCAGTATTATTTTGTATTGATTTCAGGTGCACAGCACAGGGATTAGACAGTCATCTACTCTGCAGAGTGTCCCCCTGGTGTATCCAGGACCCACCCACACTTGTATAGCTGTTACAGTGTTACTGACTACATTCCCTGGGTGTACATTACATCGCCAAATTGTTCTGTAACCACCAATCTACTTTTAATCCCTTCACCTTTCCACCCAATCTCCCAACCCACCTCCTCTCTGGCAACCACCAGTCTGTTCTCTGTATCTGTGAGTGTGTTTCTGTTTTGTTTGTTCATTTATTCTGTTCTGCAGATTTCACATATAAGTGAAAACATATTTTATTTGTCCTTTTCTGACTGACTTATTTCACTTTGCATAATACCGTCTAGGTTCACATATGCTATTGCAAATGGTAAGATTCCTTTTTTTTTTTTTAAATGGCCAAGTCATATTCCATTGTATATATGTACCACCTCTTTATTCTCTTGCCCTTTGATGGGCACTTGGGTTGCTTCCATATCTTGGCTAATAAATAATGTAAATAATGCAGCAATGACCTTAGGGGTGTTTATATTCTTTTGAATTTGTCTTTTTTTTCTTTCTCGGATATATGCCCAGAAGTGGAATCACTGGATCATAATGCAGTTCCATTTTTAATTTTTTTGAGGTAACTTCATACTGTTTACCACAGAGGCTGCACCAGTCTGCATCCCCACCAACAGTGCACCAGGGTTCCCTTTTCTCCATATTTTCATCAACTCTTATTGTTTGTTGATTTACTGATGATAGCCATTATGAAAGGTGTGAGGTGATATCTCATTGTGGTTTTAATTTGCATTTCTCTGATGGTTAGTGACATTAAGCATTCTTCATATGTTTATTGGCTATCTGCATGTCCTCTTTTTATAAGCATCTGTTCATATCCCCTGCCCATTTTAATTTTTTTAATCCTCACCCAAAGATATGTTTTAATTGATTTCAGACAGAGAGTGGAAGGGAGAGAGAGAAAAAAGAAAACATCAATTAAGAGAGAAACATTGATCAGCTACCTCTTATATGCACCCCTACTGGAGATTGAACCCACATACTAGGAGTATGCCCTGACCAGGATTTGAACCTGCAGCCTTCTGGTATACGGGGCGATGCTACAACTGACTGAACAACCCAATCATGGCATCCTCTGCCCAATTTTTAACAGGGTTGTTTGTTTTTTGTCAGTGCTGAGTTATATGAGTTCTTTATAAATTTTGGATATTAACCCCTTACCCAATGTATCATTGGCAAATATCTTTTTCCATTAAGTAAGTTGCCTTTTTGTTTTGTTGATGGTTTCCTTGGCTGTGAAAAAATTTAAGTCTTTAATCCATTTTGAGTATATTTGTGCATGTGGTTAGAAGGTGGTCTAGTTTCATTTTTTTTGCATGTATCTGTCCAATTTTCCCAACACCATTTACTGAATAGACTGTCTTTTCTCCACTGTATGTTCTTGCCTCCTTTTTCGAATATTAATTGACCAGATAGGCATGGGTTTATTCCTGGGCCCTCCATTCTGTTCCATTGATCTGTATGTCTGTTTTTATGCCAATACTATGTTGTTTTGATTACTATAGACTTAGGGTATATAGTGTGATCCCTCCAACTTTGTTTCTCTTTCTTAAATTTCGGTGGCTTTTTCTCCAAAAAAAAAAAATAAAGCCTTTGTGGTTCCATATACATTTTTGATATATTTGTTCTAGAGCTGTGAAAAATACTGTTGGTATTTTGAAAGAAATTGCATTGAAACTATAGATTACTTTCAGTAGTACAGACATTTTAATGATGTTAATCTTCCTATTCAGGAGCACTGTATATGTTTCCATTTATATTTTCTTCAATTTATTTCTTCACAGTCTTATAAGTTTCTGATTATAAGTCCTTTAGCTCCTTGATTAAATTTATTCCTAGGTATTTTATTTGTTTGAGGCAGTTGTAAACAAGATTATTTTCTTAGTTTCCATTTCTGGTAGTTTGTTATTAGTATACAAAAATGAAACTGATTTCTGAATATTTATTTTGAATCCCACTACTTTACAGAATTCAGTTATTGGTTCTAGTAGTTTTTTGATGGAATCTTTAGGGTTCTCTACATACAGTGTCATGTCATCTGCAAATAATGACAGTTTTACTTCTTCCTTTCCGATTTGGATACATTTTATTTCTTCGTCTTCTTCTCTGATTGTTCTATCTAGGACTTCCAGTACTGCACTGAATAAAAGTGGTGAAAGTGAACATCCCTGTCTTGTTCTTGATCTTAAGGGAAATGCTTTTAGATTTTCTCTGCTTGGTATGATGTTAGCTGTGGGTTAGTCATATATGGCCTTTCTTAGTTGAAGTATGTTCCTTCTATTGCTACTTTGCTGAGAGTTTTTATTAAACATGGGTGCTGAATTTTGGCAGATTTTTTTTTTTACATTTGTCGATATGATCATGTGTTATTTGTCCTTCCTTTTGTTTATGTGGTATCACATTAACTGATTTGTAGATATTGTACCAACCTTAAATCCCAGGAATAAATCCCAGTTGATGGTGTATTATCTTTTTAATGTATTACTAAATTTGGCTTGCTACCATTATGTGGAGGATTTTTGCATCTATGTTCATTAGGGATATTGGCCTATTATTCTTTCTTTATAGTATCTTTATCTGGTTTTGGAATTGGAATAATGTTGGCCTTATAAAATGAGCTTGGAAGTCTTCCATCCTCTTACCATTTGTTTCAAGATTAATTTGTTGGCATATAGTTGTTTGTAATATTTTCTTATAAATCTTTATAATTCTGTGATGTTGGCTGTCAGTTCTCCTCTTTCATTTCTGATTATACTTATTTAGGTCCTTTCCCTTTTTTCCTTGATGAGTTTGGTTTAAGGTATATCAATCTTGTTTATCCTTACAAAATACCAGCTCTTGATTTCATTGATTTTTTTGGTATTTTTTTAGACTCTATTTCACTTGTATTCGTGCTGATATTTATTATTTATTATTTCTTTCCTTCTACTCATTTTTAGCTTTGTCATTGTTTTTCTAGTTCTTTTTGGTGCAAAATTAGATTGTGTATTTGAGATTATTCTTGTTTCTTATTGTAGGCCCATACTGCTATGAATTTCCCTTTTAGGACTGCTTTTGCTGTGTCCCACTGATTTTGGGTTGTTTTGTGTTCATTTTAATTTGTCTCAAGTTATCTTTTGAGCTCTTCCTTAATCTCACTGTTAACTTGTTAATTTTTAGTAACCTGTTATTTAGTTCCATGTGTTTGTTTATTTTTCAGGTTTTTTCCTGTAATTTATTTCTTAGTTTCATATCATTGTGTTTTAAGAAGATATTTGCTATGACTTCAATCTTCTTAAAATTATTGAGACATATTTTGTGACCTATCCTGGAAAATGTTGCATGTCTCCTTGAAAATAATGTATGTTCTGCTGCATTGTGGCAAATGCTCTGAAAGTATCAATTAAATCCATCTGGTCTAGTGTGTCATTCAAGGTTACTATGACCTTGTTGATTTTCTGTCAATGGGATGTTAAAGTTCTGTACTATAACTGTATTATTGATCTTTCCCTTTATATCTACCAATATTCGCTTTATAGATTTAGCCGCTCCTATATAGTGTACATAAATGTTTATAGGAATTATATCCTCTTATCAGACTGATCCCTTTATCATTATGTAATGACATTCTTTGTTTTTTATCATATCTTTTGTTTTAAAGTCTATTTTGTCTGATATAAATATTGCTACCACAGCCTTTTCCTCCCTCATTTGTATGAAAATCTTCTTCCATTCCTTTTCTTGTGTTTGTTTTTCAATCTGAAGTGGGTTTCTTTTAGACAGTATATACACATATATAAATATAAATAAATAAATATATATATTATACATAAAATTTGTTTTCTTATCCATTCAACTACCCTGTGTCTTTTGATTAGAACATTTAATCTATTTATATTTAAAGTGGTTATTGATAAGTATGTATTTATTGTCATTTTATTATTCATATTTATGTTACTCTGTTTTTTCTTTCTTCTTCTTAAAGAAGTCCCTTTGCCATTGCTTGTAATACTGCTTGGATGGTGATGAGCTCCTAGCTTTTTCTTGTCTGGGAAGCTCTTTATTTCTCCTTCAATTTTAAATGGGAGCCTTGCTGGGTAGAGTAGTCTTGGTTATAGGGCCTTGCTTTTTATCACTTTGAGTACTTTGGGCCAATCCCTTCTGGTCTGCAACTTCTCTGTTGAGAAATCAACTCACAGTCTTATGGGAGCTCCCATGTAGGTAACTAACAATTTCTCTTATTGCTTTTAAGATTCTTTGTCCTTTACCTTTGGCATTTCAATTATGATGTGTCTTGGTGTGGGCCTCTTTGGGTTCATCTTGTCTGGAACTCTCTGTACTTCCTTGACTTTTGTATGTTTTTCATTCACAAGGTTAGGGAAATTTTCAGTTATTATTTTTCAAGGAAGTTCTCCATCCCTTGTTATCTCTCTCTCCTTCTGGTATCCTTATGATGCAGATGCCATTATGCTTCATGTTGCTCAGAGGTCCTTTGCACTATGCTCATTTTGAAAAATTCTTTTTTTGTTTTTGCTTCTCTCATTGGGTTTTTCTGCTACTTTGTCTACCAAATTGCTGATTTGATTCTCACTTCATCTAACCTACTGTTGATTCCTTCTGGTATTTTCTTCATTTCAAATATTGTGTTCTTTATTTCTGACTAGTTATTTTTTTATGTCTTATATATTTTTTATGCTTACTATCTCTTTGTTGAAGTTCTCATTAAGTTCATTTATTTTTCCCCTAAGTTTCTTGAGCATCCTTATAACAATTGTTTTGAACTCTGTACCTGGTGGATAACTTGCCTCCAATTAATTTAGTTCCTTTTCTCGGGATTTCTCCTGTTCTTTCATTTGGGTCATGTCTCTTTTCCTCTCCATTTTGAGTACCTCTCTGTGTTTGTTTCTGTGTATGAGGTAGATTTCTATGTCTCTTGGTCTTGATAGTAGGTGTCCTGTGTGACTCAGTGGCACAGTCTCCTTGATCACCTGAGCTATGTTCTCCAGGAATGTCCCTTGTGTAGATTATGTGAGCCTTCCTGGTATAGTTAAGTCTCAATTGTTTTTGGCCCATCTGTGGGTGGGGTTGAGCTTCAAGCTGGCCGACTGTGAGAAGTGACCCTGACCAGACTGTACTAATTACTGTGTGGAGGCTGACCATGTGAAGTGGAATTTGTCCCAGCAAGGTCTGGTGCATGCTGAGATCTCCTTTTCAGTGTGCCACTTGTAGAGTTAATTGGGCTGTGCTCTGACATGGGCTGAAGCCCACCACTGAGTGTGTTGGTTCTGGGGCCTCCTGGAAGGAATTTCAGTGCAGGTCAAATGTCAGATGCTGCGTGTGACTGACCCTGTTAGAAGCTGCAAAGCAATCCATATTTGTTGATTGCTTTTGCCGGGCCTGGGTGAGTGTGAAAGGAGCTAAGTTATGCCTTAAGGCAGGTTTCCACTGAGCCTTGGGGGCATGTTAGCAAAGGCCCAAGGCACCCCAAGACCTTCCTCCACCTGCCTTTGCCTGTTGGCTACCTGTTAGGCTCAGTCACTAGGAGAGCCTCTGGAGATACAAGAGTTTCATTAGGTGGGTTCTCAGTGAGTCAACAGTTAGGTGGGAGTGGTGTTTATCCAACTGATACAGGTTCAAGCTCAGCTTTAGTGCTGCATCAGGGGCAACTCAGCGGAAGTTTCAGGGTTCATCAAAGCCAGCTACCACCTGCTATGTGCCTGCTGACCTTTGTTTTGGGGTTTAGTCTCAGAGTCATGAGGAAGAGGCCAGCAGAGTTCATCAGGCCCAAAGAGAGCAAGATTTGGCTATGTGAAGAGAGGGCTCTGCACGGGAATGGTAGAGCCAGTGGGTGTGTGAGGGAAGATGGCCTCTGCCATAGAGCCACACAACTCTGTATCTCCCCGAGGCTGTCCGGACCTCCTCAGAGCTGTTCTGGAGAGTCTGCAGTGAGGGTCTAGGCTTGCATGAGCTCAGTTGGACTGGGCATCAGGGAGTTGGGAGGATGGAACTACTGCATTCCCCCAGGATGCTGCTGTATGGGGGGGCAGAACAAACCCAGGAATGGTGGTGTCTGTGGGTGGTATGGGAGAGGGACTCACTCAGCACAGGGACCCTGGTGGCTATCCCTTCACCCACATTTACCAATTCCTCATTTCCTCCCAGCTGCCCTCCCTCTGTGGGAGCCAGGGTAAGTGGCTGCACATGAGATTTTGTGTGTTTGGCCCTTTAAGAGGGTACCTGGGTTTCTTAGCAGACTCCTGTCTCTTCCTGGTTGACAGGACCCTTGCTTCTTTTCACAGCAGATGTTATATGGGCTCCTCTTCCCAGCTTCAGTGCCCTTGGTTGGGAAGCTTGGCATAGGGATGAGACCCCATACTCCTCAGGGAGAAGTTTTGCAGCTGGGATATCCCTCTGGGATCTCAGTCACCACCCTTGGGAACAGGTCCAGCCATTTTCATGTCTCTGCTCTTCCTACCAGTCTCCATGTGGCTTCTTCTGTAAATCCCTTGTTAGGAGACTTCTGTTCAGCTAGTCTTCAGTTGGCTGTTCAGGTTGTTTGTTCTATATTTTAGTTGTTATTCCAGTTTGGTCCTGGGAGAGGTGAGTATACTTCCACCTACTGCAAAGCCATCTCGGATCCACCTATGTCCCCATAATTCTGTGGACATCACGTTATTTTTGAATACCACATTATAAGATATTTATGTATTTGTAAGTTTGTGTCCCTGAGGGTGGGGACTCATGCTTGGATCCCCAACACTTCACACAATACCTCGTACAAAGAAGTGATCAATCAATACATGTTAGGTCATTGACTAGGACAAGTCTACTGTCTCTTTGTGGCAGGTTCTCTGCAAAGAACTGAGCATCTTCAAAGGATCAATTGACTCTAAACATTCAGCCCCTCCAGGGTTCGCTGCTCCTCACCCTTGTGCTAGGAGCTGAGCTCTCTGCCTCACCAAGGCTGACCTTGCCCCATCTCTGGACCACACGCCCTCAAAGAAATCACGCTCCATCCACTTTGGTAAATCAACCCCGTTCCAAGTGCACTATCCTAAATGTAATGGTTACAGAAGAAATTGCTTGAGAAAATTTACGACTTGTAGAAAAGTTATAGACTCCCCAGGAAGTGCCCGAGCACAGCCATAGAGCCAGCATTCTGTAGCCGTGGCCAGGAATGCCTGCGCAATGTCTCCAGGACACTTACCTACTAGTCTCGCTTGCATACATCCAAACACAGTGATCGGAGCATCTTTCTCGTAATCCCGAAAACCACCGCTCCGCTGAGGTAAGCTGTGAGGCATGTTCAAGTTGGTGCGTATGTAGCGGCCTAGGAAAAACGTCACACAAGGGCCGTGTGAGCTTCCTGCTCCCTTAGGACTTCCGTGGCTGATCCTGACAGCCTCTTATTCCACTCCTTTTTGGCCAAAGAGACTACATGAGCTCTCTAGAAAATATCTAGGCTGACACTTTTCCTTTAGAACGTCTTGGAATCCACTCGTCTGTTCTGCTGACAAAATGACAGATAACGGCCAGACGCTCTAAAGCAGGGGGCTTCCCTATCTGTAACATGCCACTCAAGTGGAAATGGAGTCAACATGAGTCAGGGCGGGTTAAGGGTGGGAACTCTGGCCATGGTCAAGATAGCTGTCCTTACCTCTGACTTTGCCACATGACTGTGGGCAAAACATTTGCCTTTGGTCCCTGGTGTCCCAGTTTATAGAACAGAGACATGAACACTTACCTCTTCCCTAACACTCAAGACAATCAAGGAAGGATTTATGAAGGTAAAATATTACAGGCCTTTATGTAGCCCACCTAACTAACCATAAATGACTCCGTCTAAGAGTAACGTAGCTCGGCTGTGCCCCCTAGAGGCCATGATAGGCATAGCAATGCTACACAGGCCAACCAGCCACTCACCTTTGGCATCGAAGCACTGAGACAGCCAGTACTTCCCAAACACCACATCCATCCTCTCCCCGTGCCGGCACACAAAGAGGCATCTCTTTTGGGGGCCAGGCTGGCTATTGAGCCTCAGAGGCTGCAGATAAAGAAAGGCTATTAGTGGAGAAAACATGACAAAGTAGACATGTCCTGGAGCCAGGTGCCAGGTGAGCTGAACTCTAGGGCAGGTTCTGCTAACATATGACTTGGCCCATCTGTAAAATGGGGGTCATAGGACTCGTCCTACAGACCTCACGAGTTATTTTGAGGCTCAAATGAGATGAACCGCAGATGCGTTGAAAAATAAGGGTTAGGGAAATGGTATTATCATCGCTACGGCTGTTGGCAGTAGTAGTGCTTGGCCAGTACTCATACACGAGCACCACTTGAGTTACAGCTCAGAGGTAGAACTAACGAGCATGTAGAGAAAGCCATCTAGCGGGACAGTGTCGTCCCCTAAAGAGATGCTTCATCAACTTCTTCAGGGAGTGAGGACTTTATTATCACAAATATGTTTGCCTTCTCCCTGCCTGGTGTTTAGACCATGTGGTCCAATGGTCTCCTCCAACAATGAGCTTCTGCTTTGTCTATTCTAATCAAAGCTTAGGCTCTGCTGTCCAACTACATACATGTTGGTGTTCCCAGAAATGGTTCTGGGAGGACGAGTGCTACTTGAAATAGGCAAGTCTAGTCAAAGCATGTCCAAATGACTTTGGTTCCTACACCTGCTGGGTGGATCACGAGAGATGTTCCTCTATGCCGTCTGATCGTCAGCTATTCCTAGTTTCCTCAGTGCAGCCGGCTTCTGTGGGCCTGCGTTCACACTAGTTTCCGGTTGCCCTGAGGTTAACATGTAGGGGGGTGGCCTGGTCTTCCCCAGCTCTTCTCTTGCTGTTTCCTAATTCAAGCCCTGGGCTCTAGCCAAGGTGATCGAGTCTCTTGATCCTCAACATGTTCAAACTTTCAACTGCCTTTGTGTTGTTCAAACTACTCCCCCGGCCCTGGCCAGTTTGGCTCAGTGGTTAGAGCGTCGGCCTGCGGTCCGGAGAGACCCGGGTTCGGTTCCCGCTAAGGGCACATACTTCGGTTGCAGTTTGTCCCCGGCCCTGGTTGGTCGTGCGGGTGGCAGCCACTCGATGTGTCCCTTCACGTCGATGTTTCTCTCTCTCTCCCTTCCTCTCTCTCCCTCCCACTCTGTACAAAAAATGGAAAAAAATATCCTCGGGTGAGGATAAAAACAACAACAACAACAAACTACTCCCCCGGTTCTTCATCCTCAAACTTGCTGGTGCATCTCAAGCTCTGTAACACACAGCACTGTGCACCAGACGCTGTGCTTGGAGCCCACTTGTATGACACCCTGTAATATTCACTCAAGTATGATCAACATACGCTGTTATATTAGTTTTAGGTATACAGCATAGTGATTCGATACTTTGTACCTTATGGTGTGATCACCATGATATATCTAGTAACCATCTGTCACCACGCAGAGTCATGACATTAATTCACTATATTCTCTGTGCTTTATATTACATTTCCATAACGTACTTATTTTGTAACTGGAATTTGTACGTCTTACTACTCTTCACCCTTTTCATCACCCCGACCCCACTTCCTTAGTCTTCCCAGTGGCCTGTGGTAAATGCTGTTGCTACTGCACACACTCCATGGCCCTCCCTGTGGAGGACCCCTCCTGACCGCCTAGACCCAGACGCCGGCGCTGCCTGTCAGGACCGCCCATCTGACTCTTCCTAGTCCTGAATTTTCATGTATATTAGTGGCCTCATACCAGTAAGTAGGCACTCAGTGGATCTTGAGTACAGTGGAGGATGTGCCCCTGGGGTCAGCCTTACCTGTGTGGGCTGGCAAATGATAGTCAGGGGGGTCATCTCCCCCAGGCCCTGGTCCTCACACAGCCGCCTCTCCAGTATGCCGTCGCCAAAGGAGAGCGCGTTGGAAGACGACGTGTTTAGGATTGAGTAAGAACTGCAGAGAGAGATAAGGAAGATGTCAGCGGCTTTGTCCCGGAGTCATCAGCCTTCACCTGGACTAAGGCGGTGGGAGTCTGCGGGCAGGGCCCCCGGGCAGCGCAGTGGCTGGGAAAGCTGAGCAGGGGCACCCCGTTCCTCCCCAGGAGTGCTCGTGTGACACGAAGTCTTGCAGTTAATTAACTAGCGACAGAGGGATTTCTCTACTTGGAAGAGATGAGTTCATCCCTCTGAGCAAGGACAGGGCCTGCGATTGTGCTTGTTACGACGCCACAGGCACGGACGGCACCAGCGGCATTAAAGCGCAATGAAGTGTACCATGGTTTCCAGCTATTCTTCTGGCTCCAGAGAAATAAACATTTCCTGCTGCCTTTCGTAATTTCCGTGGTGATTCCCACGCGAGCTCACAAACTACAGGGAACGTTTCCTCGTCTCCACCACTGGCTCCTAACAGTCGAGAAAACCTCACGGCCCTTGGCCCCTGTTCTACCTTCGTCAGTTTCCAAACCCCTCTTTCCATCTCAGCAACACCTCCAACCAGATCACTAAATACGGACTGTTTCAGAGGAGACCTTCTCGCCAGCTGTGCACAGCTGTGAGCCGAGCTGGGGGTGACGCCGGGGCTCCAGAAGCCCCAGGAAGGTCTTGCTAACAGGGAGCAGCAAGTCGTGCCATGTTTCACTTGTTTGGTTAGTTAGACCTCCGAAAGCTTTATCTGATACACACTGTCATTTAAATATGTTTGTGGGGCAAATCCTGTGCCGGTCTCCTTCTGTACCAAGGGCACATTTAAAGTTTAGATTTCCTGCTTCTTCGCGACGAGGGCAGCCACGCCCCCCTTTGCCCAGCACACTCCTGGTTTAAATCTGCCGACCCGGCGGTCTCTGAGGTGTAGCATCTGTTCCGGATTGTATATTTTTAACACAGTATTATTCTTAGAATTTTAATTTTAAAAAGAACTTTCTATAGTCATCAAAATAATAAAGCTAACTGGCTGTTAGTAAAAATTCAAACGGCTGTATGGTTTTAGTCATCTTGGCACCTCTTTCGTGCTCCAAGGTGTCCCTCGAGTGTGGAGACTCACCCTCCTCACCCACAAAGGCCACAGAGCCTCAAACCCTCGAAAAGTGATGCCCTGTCCCTTGTGTATGTCAGAGTCTCCAGGGAGATTTAAGAACATGCTGCCGGGCCCCACTCCTCACAGATTAGGGTTCAGCAGGTTTGGGGGATCCGGGAACCCCCAGTTTAACAAAGATGCATCAGGAAGTGTGGTGTATGGCCAAATGAGACCTATTTTGATAAAATTTAAGCACCTGTAGACCAAGGACATTGTGTGCGTTCACAGGGTTTAATAGATGGGCTGTTCTCTTTCGTTTTGAATGAGACCCTCCCGGCGTCACACAGTTACGGAAAATTCGGTTTCAGGTGCTGACTCATCATGCTCCGGGCCGGCCTGTCGGGATGGGCTGTCGGGCGCTGTGCCTGCACCTGCCCCTCTGTGACCCCGTCGCTGTTGCTGGGAAGATGCGGACAGACCCCTGGCCTCTCCTGCATCTCGGCTGGGCTGGAGGAGAGTGCCAGCCTCCTTGCTTAGCTGTCACTGGAAAGAAAGGATCCGACTCCCTCTGGACAGGCTGGGCGGTCGGTCCCAGTAAGACAACAGTTGGACGCTCTGCTGACAGCAGTGCAGGGAGGAAGCAGAACAGACGCCCGGACATCTCCTCCAGCACCAGGGAGACAGTGCACCCGCCAGTGCACCCTGACTCAGGCACCCCGGCCTCACCCACTGACCGGCATCCGGGGATACTCAGAACAGGCACGGTGCTCTGATGAAGGTGGAAGGACAGTGTTCCCTCAGGACAGACGCAGGGCGCCCAGGACAGGGTAGGAGGGTGGTGAAGGGGCACAGCTCCAGGCCTCTGCATGTTGCCTGATCCCCACCCCACTTCCCGTCATGCCAGCCAGGTCCCACTCAAGCCCCTGAGGCTCCACCTCCTGAGTCTGTCTCTGGTGGGAGGTGAGAGAGGACCTGCCTCCCTGGGTCAGATCAGGTGGAAAGTGCAATTCCCCTACAGGATCACTTCTGGAGGAGAGACACTGTAGATGAGCATGTAAAGAGGGCAAGAAAACACAAGTTAGAAATAAACAGAAAATCATAGAGCTAGTGACTATTTCAGATTCAGACTGTTCTTTGGTGGCACTGGTCCATGGAAAGGCAAGTCCTTTTTTGCAGTCTTCACAATACCCCTGTGAGTTAACTATGATGAATTATCATCTTCCTTTTATAGATTAGCAAACAGAGGCTCAGAGAGGTAGAGTAACTTGGCCAGGGTCACCCAGCTAGTGAGTGAGAGAGAGAGGAACTGAACACCTGGAATAAAAACTCAAATTCTTAATTACAAAGTTCTAACACCTAACTTGAGCATTTCCCTACTCTCAGCGGGGCTGGTTGTGGAAACTGACAGTTTAATCTCAGATCTGGTTCCTAGGAAAATAACCGCACTAGTAATATCCCAGAATAAAAGGAGACGACACACAGGCAGACCTCCCCCTGCTCCCGGGCTCTGGTCTGGGCAGGAGTGGGCTCGGCTGCCGGGGTCTGAGCGGCCCGGAGGCTTCTCTCGTCCTCTCCTCCACCCGTAAGCTCACCATTGAGAAGGTGACCTGAGCCCTGGCCGGTTTGGCTCAGCAGTTTGAGCGTCGGAGACACCCAGGCATGTACCTCGGTTGCAGTTTGTCCCCGGCCCTGGTTGGGTCGTGTGGGTGGCAGCCACTCGATGTGCCCCTTTCACGTTGATGTTTCTCTCTCTCTCCCTCCCACTCTATCTGAACAAAAAGTGGAAAAATGTCCTCGAGTGAGGATAAAAAAAAAAAAAAAAGAAGGTGACCCGAGACCTGTGCATTGTCAGATGGAGTCTTTTGGTTCTTTGTTTATTCATGTATATTACGCCTCACTTATTTTCATAGGGATAAAAGGGTAACTTTGCAAACCCAACTTGTTTATTTTCATATTCAGAAACATTTTTGAAAAAGCAGATGTTTAGAGAACATGAGCAGCTTCGACCCTCGAATTTGTGGCACGAAATGTTGGCTGTTCACGGTGTGGGATGGGAGCGGACTGGAAGGGGAAAATGGGGTGCCAGGTCCTGAGCGATGAAGGAAGATGTTCTCTCCCATCTTGGGGTTGGTGCCTTGGCTGCCTGCTGCTAACCGGCAGGGGGACTTCTGTCTGCTCCCTCCAGCAGCACACTCCCTGAACTCGCCCTGGTCTGTTCTCCCTCGTGGGGACCAGAACAGGGTCACCCACCGGCGGGCGGCTGGTGCCCGCAGCTCGGGCTCTCGGCCACATGCACGCGGCAAGAACAAACCACACACACTGGCGAGGTGCCCGCGTGTGCCAGGGGAGGGCTGGCTTTGAGCTGCTCTGACTGAGAAAGAGGAGGGGGCGCTATTTCTATTTTATTTGTTGGGACGAAGCTCCGTGCCGCACAGGCCACTCGACATGGAGCGGCTGGGCTCATGAGGGACGAGGGACAGCCACCGCTCCAGACGACCGGGAACGTGTGCCTTTCCCAGGAGGTGGCAGTCGCCCTCTCCTTACACACGCTGCCATCTGGGCACTCGCGTGCCCAGCCTGAGGGGCTCAGGGCCGCCTGCGAAGTGAGGGCGCGTAGATCTCCGGACACCTGCAAACTGTCCTCCCCGCCCGGCGGGTGCAGTGGGAACCAGCCGCGCTGCTGCGGCCTCTCTGAGCAAGGACCCAGGACCAAGGGGACAGAAGCCTGAAAGCTGCGAAGACTCAGCACTGGGGTGACCCCCGTGTCAGCCATAAGACACGGGCCCCCAGCAGCCCCGCTGGCCTCCCGTCGGAGACGCAGACGGCTGCCTCGCAGGGGCAGGCAGAGGGAAGCAGGGTGGCCCATGGCCCGGGCCCCGAGGCAGCGCTTCCCTGGAGCCTGGGGCCAGCAGGGCGAATCTTTCCTCAGGAACTGCTGCCCTGTGTGCGAGAAGCGGGTCCATCCCCACCCCTGAGGGCCTGCAGCGGCTTCTGAAACAGCGGGCAGAGAGCGTCCAGTCAGCTCACCTGTGAAAGATCCAGGTGCTGCACTCGTCAGCCTTGGTGATGTAGTTCTCAGGGAGGAGGCCGGAGCAGCCGGTGGCCAAGGACGTGCCGTAGACCCAGCCCTCGCTGGTGCCCGTCTGCTCCATGGGAGACATGAAGATGAAGTCCCCGGGGACCAGCTCCAGCTCGTCGTCATTCTGGGGGGTGTAGGGGTAGATCACCTGCAGCGTCTGAAAGAGACAGGGCTCGGTGAGGCCACACCTGACCCATCCCTGCGGTGTCCAGGCCAGACCTGCGTGCGCCGCCTGAGGGGTGCCCACGTCCCCATGCGGACGATTCTAGGCACCGGGGGCTGCAGGTTCCAAGTGGGTTTAGATCCACATCAGAAAGTATTTCTTCTTCTTTTGTTTTAAGGGTAATGTGGGTATGTGCCCAGTGCCACTGGATGGCTCCAGACTTTCCTTTAGGCACCTTTCTGCTTCCTGACAGGATGCACAGGTAGGTGGTTTTGGCATTTACCGGAAAGCTACGGGCTCGCCTGGGACCTGCCGCACACTGGGCTGCACGTTTCCCTGCCCGGCTGGGGAGCACCCCACGCTCGGACCTGCTGCACACTGGGCTGCACGTTTCCCTGCCCCGGCTGGGGAGCACCCCACGCTCGGACCTGCTGCACACTGGGCTGCACGTTTCCCTGCCCCGGCTGGGGAGCACCCCACACTCGGACCTGCCGCACACTGGGCCGCACGTTTCCCTGCCCGGCTGGGGAGCACCCCACGCTCGGACCTGCCGCACACTGGGCCGCACCGTTTCCCTGCCCGGCTGGGGAGCACCCCACGCTCGGACCTGCCGCACACTGGGCCGCACGTTTCCCTGCCCGGCTGGGGAGCACCCCACACTCGGACCTGCCGCACACTGGGCCGCACGTTTCCCTGCCCCGGCTGGGGAGCACCCCACACTCGGACCTGCTGAACACTGGGCCGCACGTTTCCCTGCCCGGCTGGGGAGCACCCCACACTCGGACCTGCCGCACACTGGGCCGCACATTTCCCTGCCCCGGCTGGGGAGCACCCCACGCTCGGACCTGCTGAACACTGGGCTGCACGTTTCCCTGCCCTGGCTGGGGAGCACCCCACGCTCGAACCTGCTGAACACTGGGCCGCACGTTTCCCTGTCTCGGCTGGGGAGCACCCCACACTCGGACCTGCCGCACACTGGGCCGCACGTTTCCCTGCCCGGCTGGGGAGCACCCCACGCTCGAACCTGCTGAACACTGGGCCGCACGTTTCCCTGTCTCGGCTGGGGAGCACCCCACACTCGGACCTGCCGCACACTGGGCCGCACGTTTCCCTGCCCGGCTGGGGAGCACCCCACGCTCGAACCTGCTGAACACTGGGCCGCACGTTTCCCTGCCCGGCTGGGGAGCACCCCACACTCGGACCTGCTGCACACTGGGCCGCACGTTGCCCTGTCTCGGCTGGGGAGCACCCCACACTCGGACCGGCTTACGAAGAGGTAATCGCCCATGTGGGGTTGCGGATGGCCAGATGGAGAGACTCTCCGGTCACGAAGGCGTTGGGAATGAAGTAGTAGTCCCTTCTATGCAACTCAGCTGCTTAACGAGACCTGGTCCCCTGCCTTCAGGAGCTTACTCAAACCCGCACTTGAACAAGCAGCTCGAAGGGAAAACCTTTTGTAGACATTGGTGTGTGTGTCTGTGCGACCACTTTCGGCAGTGAGCACATGAAGACTGCAGGTTCCCTTTCATGGGCTCGGAAACACCCTCCAGGGCCAACCACAGGCCATGCTGCTTGGCTGATTTATTCCATTTTCTGTCTCCTTTCCTGGTGCATATAAACACCATAGGCACAGGCATGACAATACTTCGGAACAGATGCATTTTACTGTTTTCTAACGAGCTACAGGAGGCGTCAGCAGGAGGGGTATTTCCTGTCCCATGTGCTCACAGGGCGACTGAGGCGGAGCGTCTGGAACAGCTCTCCTGGGTCCCGAAGCCACCGGGGTGACACCGCTGGTCCCACTTGTGGTCTGTCAGCTCGGCCTCCCTTGTGGCTTCTGTGAATAATACCTGGAGAGGACAGTTGGGACCATCCAGGAAAACTTCTTGGGACAGAGCCGTGCTCACGGAAGGGGCCGGTTGTTCTGCTGAGCCTCGATCCCCACTCTCCAGGTGATGTCTTTCCTTCCAGCCGAATGGCCCCAACCACGCAGAGCACCGGTGTCTGGGTGAGGCGTCGGGACGTGTGAGAGGAGGGGTTTCCTCCTGGAAACGTGGTTTCTCCGCGAGGATGAGCAAGTGCCCAGAACTCGAAGGCGCCGCTTCCTCCCCACGCAGCGCCCCGCCCAGATCTCCTTCGCCCGCACCCCCGTCCCCTCCTCCCCCTGCATGTCCACAGCCACACCGCTGCCCAGATCAACAGGGAGGTTCCCTGCGCGGTTGTTAACAGCTGGAGGAAAAGCAGTATTTGGGAGACATCTCTGTGCTGGGGTGGGACGAGCCACCGAAAGAACATCCTTTTCCTGGAACGGGGTGAAGACAGGCGCCGAGTCACGGGAACAGGTCTCCACTCGCATTCCGTACACACGCAAGCACAGCACAGTGTGGCTTTCCGCTCGGAAATCCAAAGTGACTCCGGAGGAGACCTCCTTTCTCCCATGCCTCAGCGGTGAGGAGTCCGTGGGTCACCGCCAGGGAGACCCAGGCGTGGCGAACGAGGGTAGGGGACTGTTCTACGCAGAGAACAGCTGGGCAAAAAGCAGGTTTGATTTATTAAATAAGCAACAGAGTAGAACTGAGGTGCTGCAGCGACCCGACAGTTGTCACTGGTGTCCATGTCCCCACAGCCCCTCCCCACTCATCAAAAGCACAGGCCACGTCAGCCTGAATCTGAGCCAGCAGGACATGTACCCAGGTGCGTCCTGCATCCCACTGGCTCTGGTTAGCACCTACTTGTAAGAGTTCTGTCTACCTGAAGAATGCTTTCCCTGCTTCCCGTGCAGAGACTGAGCCCGCTGCTGACTGACCACTGTGCTTCACTGCCTGCGAAGCCTCCCAGGCCAGAACAGCCACGGCACCTGCCATCCTCGTTGTGCCCACTCTGCGCCAGGTGTTACGTTAAGAACTTTCCATCGTCCTTTTACGTAGTCCACGTGACGCCCAGCGACACGTCACCATCTGACACAGGAGAAAGCCGAGGACTGGCGTCACGGGAACGGGGACAGCGAGGGACATCTGCGCAGTGACGCCAGGCCTGAAGCACGCGTGCTGGACTCCGAATCTGTGGCTCCTGTGTGACCGTCCTTCCCCTAGATTCCTGCTGCTTGGCATGTAAAACGTGGTTGGCTCGGAGAATCACTGAGTCAGAGGAGACGGTGTGACATGCAGACGGGCGTTTCCAAGTCCCCGTGGAGGGAGGATCCGACAGCTCGGTGACACCAGGCGTTTCGTGCATCGAGAGCTGAGATCTTGCCTAAACCTCGTCCCTCCTCCGGACACCTGTGGATTCCCTGGGATGACCAATGGACCTGCCTCCCGGAAACAGGAGGGCAGGAGGTTTTCACTGCAGGGGGCTCAGGTAGATGCAAAGGACCCCGAGGGGGAGCTTAGGGAAGGCCAGCAACAGCGGAGCTTTCACAAATAAGAGACAAAAGAGGCCAAGTTATTTTTAGAGAATAATTCATTTGGGCCGGCTGCCTCCTCCCTCAGGGCCCACTGAGCCCAATGTGGGTCAGGCAGGAAAGCAATTGGCCTTGTGGTTAGCTGGAGGGCATGCTGACAGGAAGCTGTCCTGGTAAGGTCCCAGTGCCATGTCCTGCTCACAGCCCACGTCATGCAGCCGCGGAGTGTTTTTCTTTACTGTCGCAAGGGAGTCCGATCACCACACTCCGCGTTATATTTAGGGCTCATTCTTCAGTAAGATCAAGCCCAGTCTCCTTGCTGTGTCTTCACAGAAACTTTTTGTAAGTGACTCAGATGGAGGACACGGGTCCCATCAGCAGTCGGCGCCAGCGGCGTGGCCCTGACACTCCAGGGTCCTGTGCCCGGCTCGGGGTCGGCTGTGCCCAGCACTTCCAAACTGATGCCTGGTCTAGACCTTGAGGTTCCCTTTTTCATATTAAAAGAAATGTTAAAAGACTATATAAACTTTAAACACTTGGTTCTTCTGTGGTTGAAAAAGTAGGAAACAAATATATGTGTTGTTTAATAAATGTAGTTAAACTGGATGACATGTTTCCTTCAACTAAGGTGCTCTATTTTTGGATGGCTGTCCGACCTCTGATGGACAGAACCCTGAATTCTGGTCTCTGCTCTGGTCCTAAATTACTGTTAAGCTTTGGACTCACCACTTAATCTGTGTCGTCTCAGCATCTCCTTCAGAGACGGCACAGCTTGTCCCGGAATGTGGTGTTGATCCCGGGCACCCGGCGATGCCAGGCTCGTGACCCTCTGTCCACCTGCGTGGGGTCCGTCTCCCTCACATGCCCCCGAGGCGCACACCAGCCCTCAGTGTGTGCGCGGTGCTCCTGTTTCAGGAACGTCTGTCGTGTCTCCCCTGCTGGGCTCAAAGCCCCTTGAAGACAGTATCACATTTTACAATTCCGGGACGTTCCACAGTACCATGCATGTTGCAGATAGTCAGCAAACATCTGTTGATGGTGTGTTCACAGATATTTTTTATGTGTGTGTGTTCTTCTCACCTAAGATCAGGATGATGTCTGCTATCTATTAACACCCAGGATTAATATAGAATTTAAAGTCTTTCCAACATCCTTTTCTATCGATTCTTCCACTTAATTTCTCTATCATCCCGATAAGGTTGGCTGGGCAGACAGGACCCTGGGGGTGTCACACAGAGAGGCTGCTGGGCACCCAGGAGGAAGGATACACGCTCAAAGCTTCCTCGTGAGCTGGGCAGCATCCTGGACAACCCCCGGCCCGGTGCTGCCTGATGCCTCCTGTGGCGCCCGCCCCCGCCGTGCGCAGCAGGCTCCTGGCTTTGTCTGCCCCCAGAGCGCCTGCAGCAGACATACCTCATGGTTGGCAAACCGGATGTCCCGAGAGAATATGGTAGCCACCCAGTCGCACCCCAGCTTGACGTCGATGTTCTGGGCCAGTTTCTCCAGGGTGGGTAGGTGGCTGGCCTGGAAGTGGTAAGCCAGGGTCACGTGCAGCTGCTTCTTGTGGGGCTCCACGTGCACTTCTGGAAAAGGGAGGACAGTCAGCCGTCAGATCATGGTGACCCCACAATGGCGGAGGCCTAGGAGGACACAGAGGGGCCGCTGCCGGACGGGAGCCGTCTCCCTCCTTCACAGCGCAGAGTAGGGCACGTCCTGAATCAACACACAGTCTGAGAGAGAACGAGCAACAGTCTGCAGGGGCTCCATCAGCTGAGAGGCAGTGGTCTCGGCTGGTTTCTCCTCAACTCTGACTATGACGAGCCCCGCCGTCCAGATGAGGAAACGGAGGCCTAGCGGGATGAACCACAACGTGTAGAAATAAAGAGCAAATTTTGTAATTGTGCAGCTCTCAAATCTATATTGCCTTTGTTTTGAAGTCAAGTCTCTTAGCTTCTGGGTGGCTCTGATAGAGAAATGAAGGAACCAGAGAGAATATTTTCAAAGTTTAAAACGGTTTCTCAACAGAATTTAGGTCAAATAGTTCTTTGTTGTGGGCACTGTCCTGTGCGTTGTGGTCTTTTAGCTGCGTCCGTGGCCCCTACCAGCCAGTCACAGCACCCCTCAAGTGTGGCAGCCCAAAATGACTGCAGACATTGCCAGATGTCCCCTGGGGAGCAGCAGCACCCTGATGGGGAACCACTGCTCGAAGGTGGACAGATCGTTATTCTAAGACACCCTAGAAAACAAAACCAGCCAACCTGCTTTCAAGGGAAGGCTTATTTCTCGTTTGTGCGTCTCTACGTGGGGGACTCACCTACTGCCCCAGCTAGACATTGAAGAACATGCGACGAGAGGGAATTTGGGGAATTTGAAACATTAAGGGGCTTGCTGAAATCCCAGCGTCAGAAGCACAGGCTGGGCTTTCTGTCCGGCGCACTGTCCCGTCACTGCACTGCATGTCTTTGGTGTGAGCGCCGAGCACGGGCTTCGCGTCTTGTTCAGGCCTGTCCCCAGCGCTCAGCACGTGGCAGGCTTCTTATACTCATGTATGAGTTCCTCGTGGAGGGGAAGCTGAATCTACTTGCTGAAAGATCTGGGCGTGCCCTAAACTCTAGAATACCAAGGCCTAAGTTCACCTGCAAAGACTCGCTGGCCTGCTTTCCGGTTGCCAGGAGCGGGCGCAGGCAGGAGGGCAGGGCCACGCAGTTCTCTGCGTCACCAGCAGGGGCCGCTCAGGGCGGAGAGCCCAGCCCACAGGATCCTGGAGGGGGCGGGGGGGGGGCAGGGGGGCTCCCCCTCCCACCAGGAAAGCACGCAAGCGGCCTCTCAGTAAGAGCGAGAGAGTCAGCGCAGTCTGGCTGAGACCTGCTTTGCTCATTTCTGAGAGGTCTGGGTTTTGTGGCTGCATTAGTTTTGGTGTGTGTGGGAGTTTCAGTGGTTTGATGAGAGCTGCTGGGGGAAAAAGCCATTTCCCCGAGAAAGGGTGGACCCAGGGAACCCTCCCTCCCTGTTAGGCCACCTCTCTGGAATGCGGGGTCCTGTGAAATGACAGACACTGGTCTGGAGGAGAGGGGTTCCCGAAGGAGGAGAAGGGGTGCCCAGGAGGAGAGGGGTGCCCGGGCTGGCAGCTATGGGGGCCCACCCCCGACGTGGAGGAGAGGACTTAGAAGCAGGCGTTCCTGGGTGCAAGCCCTCCCCAGGGTCCCTCCGTGATGCTGGGCCCAGCACACTCTCCAGAGGCCTGGGCCTCCTTGGGGGCTTTTCCAGGAAGAGGGACGGGGCGCGAAGTCCCCAGCTGGGGGTGAAAACAGCAAAGCAGCAGCAGCGAAGGCAGGTGAGGGTTAGGCCACGGTCAGGAGACCAGGGGCAAACATGGGCTTTACTAGGCGCTGCCGGCTATGGCCCTGTACACAAGGGGGCTGGCCAGCCCGGGGCTCCTCCCGGGTGGCATTCACCACTCGGACCGAGCTGGGCTGGGCCCTCGCCCTGGTCAGAGGCTCCACACTGCCCTCTGCACACCCAGCTCCCTCCCGCTGTGCTCAGCAGCCGGCCTGCAGGGACCTCCCTCCCTCCCTCCAAGGATCAACATCCCCCTTCCTTCTGCGAAGGGGGAGCCGCTCTGTCCCGCGGTGGCCCTTCTCTTCTGGAGCCTGTTAGCTCCGTGCCTCAGCCGGGTTCCCAGCTGGCCTCTGGCCAAGAGAAACCGCCTGACGTCCGCCGCAGTGGGCACACACCGCAGGTACCCACTGAATACCTGCTGACCGGGACTCGGCTCCTAGGGAGCCAGGGGAGTCAGTGGGTCCCCCAGCAGGTGAGCTCTGGGCAGCCAGTGCGCGTGTCTGCTTCACACACTCCCCCGCTTTCCGTCTGTCCCCAAGTCAACACCCCCCCAGCACCCCCTCAGCTAGTTCCTTTGGCGGAAATCTCAGTTGCTTAAAGTAGGGGTGGTCATAAAACAGAAGACAGGTGGATGGCATCACATCTTTGGACGACCTTTGGGGCTTGGGGCCTGTCGCATTGGCTCAGTGGATCGTCTTATTATTTGGTTCTGAGTGGTTCTGTTCTACTGCTTGTGCTAGGCTCCCCCTCAAGGAAGCCCTGGGTCCCCGGGCACAACTGTGAGACCCAGATCCATGCCTGCGTGGGAGGGGCCTGGGGTGAAAGGAAGATTCCTTAATTCTGAAGTGGTGCTGCCAAGGGATACGTTCATAGCTCAAGGGGGAACAGAGGTGTGTGTTCCTTTAACTTGGACATTATCTCAGGAGTTAACAGGACAGTAGTTTCATACTGTGGAAGGGAGCACAGAAGTGAGCTCTACAGGGAAGGGCCGTGTTCCCCTCATGCTCTGCCCGTTCCTGCAGGCCCCTCCACCCCCGACAGCATCCCTGTCCTCCACAGCAGTTCCCGCCCCCCTCCTCCCCGCTGGCCGGCAGCAGGGCGGCTCACCGGTTTTCGACGCAGCCTCCGCGGCGAAGTCGGCGGCAAACTTCTTGAGGACCTCCGCGCTGTCCTCCTTCACGAAGAGGCCGATGAAGTTGGAGGAGGTGTAGAGCTCCAGGGGCAGGGGGGCCGCGAACTTACACTTCCAGCGAGTGACGGTGGTCTGCAGGGCCTCCCCTAGGGCGTCCACCTTGCTGTCCTCACACTGGAAGGGGAAGCAGGAGGCTCAGAGACGGGAGATGGATGTTCGCGCCAGTGAACGGCTGCAGCCTCTGCCCAGGGCTGCAGGCTGACCATGCCCTACTGCAGCAGCGCTTCTGCTGTGAGGGGGAGACCGCACACTCCCAGTGATCTGGGGTCACCCACCTGGGGAATTACCCCGGGGCAACGGGCAGCCCCCCTCCCTCCCGCTCCAGTGTGCCCTCCGCGCCGAGCCCGAACGCAGGAGGCCTGGCCCAGAGGAGGAGGGAAGGGAGGGGTGCAGAGGGGAAAACACAGCATCCTAGGTCAGTTCTTCAGTGTTTTCTACTGCTTGGCTTCACCTGTGCTTTTCTGTTCCTCTCAGATGATCAAAAGTGGACTGTGCTGGCCCTGGCCGGTTTGGCTCAGTGGTAGAGCATCGCCCGCGGACCAGACAGTTCTGGGTTCGGTTCCTGCTAAGGGCACGCACCTCGGTTGCAGTGTGTCCCTGGCCCTCGTTGGGGTTGTGTGAGTGGCAACCAGTCGATGGGTCTCTCTCACATCGATGTTTCTGTCTCTCTCTTGCCCCCTCTCTCCCTCCTGCTCTATCTGAAGATAAATGCAAAAATGTCCTCGGGTGAGGATAAAAAAAAAAGCAGACTGTGCGTCCTCTCCTGTGACAGCCAGGAAGAAAGAGGCTTGGAGAGCCCTGCATGGTCCGCCCACCTCCTCGGAGCGCTGGGGGGGGGTCTCCCAGCTTCTGAAAGGGCTGGGAAAGGAGGCTGGGATGACTAAGAAGAAATGCTAATCACGTTAATTTTCAGAGCGATTGGTAAGAGACAAAGTGTGAGGAACATATTTTTATCTAAAGAGAGAGGGAGAGAACAAATGGAATAGTGTCTCAGAGTGCGACCGTCCTGCCTGGTCTTGAGTATGCCTGTACCAATCATCGTCTCCAACTCTCCACAGAGCGCTAGCGCAGATGATGCATTTACTGTAGTCAGAGAGGTCTGATTCCATCAGTAAGTAGCTGGGTTCATGGACGAGGTCGCAGTGCCAGGTGAGGGAAGCCCTGCAGACCCTGGCTGTGTGGCCGACTCTTCCCCTGACTGCGGCTGCATTTCTCGTTCCCAGCCCCAGTTCCTCTTTCCTTGTAAAAGTGGAAAGGCAGACCACAGGTGTGGGTGAGGCAGGTGAGGGAAGCCTTTCCCGCTGTGGCTGCCGACCACTGTGTCCCTTGGCGGGTCAGGCTTGTCCCTCGGGTCCCTCGGGTCCCTCGGAGCTCGCGGTCGGCACAGTGCACACCAAGCCTGAGTCCTCCTGGGCCTCGGCAGATGTGAAAGCGAGGGGCTGGGGTAACTAGCCGACAGCCGCACCCATGTCCTGAAGGCCGTCCAAGGCTGGGAGCCCAGGACTTTTTCTGCCAGTTTCCTGAGACTCTGCGGACCCTGACTCCAGTCCCAGCAGGCTGGCGGGGGCACCGGGGTCCCGGGCGGGGCGGGGCTGCCACTCACCATGAAGAACTGGCAGAGGGTGATGTGCGGGAAGATGTTGTGGGCCTTGTTCTTCCCGCAGAGCTGCTTCGACTGCTGCCAGAAGTCCGAGAGCTTCTGTGCTAGGGGGCCGGTGGGGCGGAGGTAGAGCACGTACTCCCGGGGCAGGGGGTCGTCCAGGAAGGGGTCACCCACGTGGGAGAATAACCTGCAAGGGACAAGAGAGCTGGGCAGCCTTGCTTGAGGAGAGTAGGAGGGACGTAGGACTCAGAGACAGACCCCCTCGTAGCTTCTGGCCTAGGCTTTCCCTTGTGCTTCAAACCTCTGCCCTCCAAGCTCACACTGTGTAACGGAGCCTCAGACACAGCTGCTTCCCCGCCTGTCACAGTGCACCCCAGCCCACGGTCCCCAAACCCGAATCGCTCTCCAGGAGCATTCTCAGGGGGACCCGACTCCTTTCCTAATCAGGGCAGCTTCACCCTGGTCGTGCCCGAGTTCAGTCTGAGCAAACCCATGCGCCTCCAAAGACAAGGGGGGCTTCGGAGGGTGCCCGTCGGTCGCCCTGGGAGTGACACCCTGAAAGGTAGGCAGGTTTTTTCCTAAAATGATTTGCACAGCATCCAGTTAAATTGTATCTTTAAGTGGCTGGAGGGAAAGCAGCTATTGTGATAGGGACTCCCTCTTGGAGATGCTGTGCGCTTCTTCAGCCTCTGTCCAGGAGAGGCACACCCGGGCCAGGGCCAGGAGGCAGCGAATGGCTGATAAATGCTCTAGTCACATGGTCTTTGACCCTTTGTCCCCCTTCTCTCTAAGGACACACACCCAGGTTCATTAAACAGGCTGCATATCCCTGCACATCCACATACACTTAGAGTTAATTACATGACATTTTCTCAATTTATTTATTTTATACCAACCAGTCACATGCCGCCTGAACACTTCTTCCTCCTGTGGATGCCAAGGCTTTTTGTCTGGAAGAAGAAATCAAAATTCTATTGTTAGTATTTTTAGCCTCCCATCAGCTCTTCTCGTGCAGTGGCAAGAGCTGCGTGTGAGGTGAGCCAGGTCAGAGCCTCCCAGTGGGGGCAGGGGCCTGCAGCAGGACCCCCCAGGGTCACAGCGAGGCTTGGGGACAGCACTTGGCATCATTTTCAGGTGATCAGCACGGGGTCCTCTTGCAGCCTGTCAGCGCCTGCAGTCTATTTTCAGCAGGTTCCACACTAGAGTTTTATTTCTGCTTCCCAAAGGTTGTCATGTCTTGGTTTTCCCTCTTTCATTTTCATGTGCTCACTCTTACTGACCCGGATCCCTTATAGAAGGCTGTTTTTTTATTTGTAGACCCTGGCAAAATGTGCTAGGGAGTGGGGCCAAACGCTCACAAGGACATTTGTTTGGTTCAGATCAGTGCCTCCTCCCACCCACCTCCAACCACCAGCACAGCCCCAGGCTGCACCCATGATCTCCAAGCATGTCACTACGCCTCGGGGTCCGGGGTCCAGGGGCCAGGGGCCAGGGCAGTGCTGCCCTCCTTCCTGCCACTGGAGAAACAAGGGTGGCGACGGCGCGAGACCCTTGGGTGCAAGCACGCAGCAGAGCGCTGCCGAAAGTTCAGAATGGTCTCCCAGAGCCCGAGAGTTCTGGGTGTGCACCCCGCTTTGCGGCTCCTCCATCGCTGCGTGGACCCCTCTTATGCTCACCCAGGAAATCCTGAATTGCTATTCCTTTGTCAGCACTGTGTAGGCTCTAGGAATGCACTGAAAAACAATTTCAGCCGAGCAGGCATAAAAACCTTAATTTGTACAGATAATTATTACTTTTTATTTCATTATATCTGTGGTCAGGACAATGAAGAGAAAGTACGGGGAACCATAGCACAGGACAGGGAGACAGAACCTGGCTGAACGGTCAGGGTAAGCTTCAGGGAAGATGTGGCATCTAGGTGAGACCTGAAGATGCAGTCTCCTCTGGGTGGGGCGGGGTGTCTGGGGCTGTGGCAGTGAAGGACACCCAGGGCAAGTGCTTGAACAGTGTTCATCTGGGGGAGAGACCCCTGAACTCGCTCCGTCCCCTTACACTGCACTGATTCTGGGTCCTGGGAGAGCGAAGGGAGGGGAGGGACTTCTAGGTCAACCAGAACTCTTCCAAAGTTTCCTTTTCCTGATCGGCTGCTGAGCCAACTCCTCTTTCCTTTTCCTGGCCCCTCCACGGGGTGATTAGAACGCTGATGCTGTGAGAACCAGAGGGTCAGATCGGAAGGCACCTCAGAAACCGTCTATGACCCAGGCTCTTCGCTCTGCTCAGGGAAATCAGGGGCAGGAAGTAACGTAAGGTGCTGAGGCAGCCTGGGGAAGGTGGTGGCTGAGTGAGCCGGACGCATGCTCTGCTCCACTGCCCGAGAAATGCCTTCTTCTCCCTCCCGAAAATCTGAGCACAAATACCAACTGATCAGGAGAAAGAAACCTGCACAGCTAAGTAGAACATCATTATAGAAGACACGCCTTCTCACAGTGAGATGAAGTCATGAAGAAGCAACACCAATGCTCTGTACCCTCGGAACAGAATTTCTCAGGACGGAAGCTGCTAAGGACAAGATGGGAAAACAAATGTCTGCTCCCACCCCACTCCCACACCTGGAAAAGGTGCTTAATCTCTGCCCTGTTCCCAGCCCGTTTCCTCTACTGTTTACTAGACAACCGGAGACCACACAGCTTGCCTTTGTTTGGATCCAGAAGCCGTGTACCCGCAGAAGAATGCAAATCATAGTCTTTTAGAGGTTAGAATCTACGAGGGATTAAATTAATTAAAAAGACATGTTGTTTAAAAAACAGTTGAGAAAAGGAAAACTCATTTGCGGTACAATGTGCTATTTATATAAAGGATCCAATTTCTTCCTTTTTTCTAGGCCCTTTCCCCAATGCAATATACCCTACTGAAATGTATTTTTCTTTAAGCACTAGGAGTCTCCTCTGGAAATGACAAGTCTAATTATGGCATGGTCTCTGTAACTCAAAAGACAAGTTTTGGAGAGGGTTCAAAACTGCAACTGAGAAAGATAATGAAGGGTTAGGGTAATAAGGCTATGATAACAGTTTCTGGAAATTCAAATTCTTCTTTCTAAAGAAGACAAGTCTGAGAGGTCTTCAATTTTATGGGAGTAACACCTATTCTTCTGAAACTATTCCAAAAAATTCAAGAACAGGGAAGCCTTCCAAGCTCATTTTGCAAGGCCAGCATTATTCTGATTACAAAACATGAGAAAGACATTACAAAAATAGAAAATTATAGGCCAATATCTTTGATGAACACAGATGTAAACATCCTCAGCAAAATATTAGCAAACTATTAAAAAGACCATACACCATGATCAAATGGGATTTATTCCTGGTATGCAAGACTGGCACACTATCTGCAAATTAATTAATGTCATATACCACATAAACAAAAGAAAGAATAAAATCATATGATCATATCAATAGATGCAGAAAATTCAGCACCCATTTATGATAAAAACTCTTAGCAAAGTGGAAATAGAGGAAACATATCTCAACATAATAAAGGCCATATATGACAAACCCACAGCTAACATCATACTCAACAGGGAAATGCTAAAATAATTTTCCTTAAGATCAGAAACAAGATAAGAATATCCACTTTCACCACTTGTATTAAACTTAGTATTGGAAGTACTAGCCACAGCAATCAGATAAAAAACAGAAATAAAAAGCATCCAAATTGGAAAGGGAGAAGTAAAACTGTCATTATTTGCAGATGATATGATTCTATATAGAGAGAACCCTAAAGACTCCACCAAAAAACTATTAGAACTGATAAATGAATTTAATAATTAGTGGGATACAGAATGAATACTCATAAATTGATTGCATCTTATACACTAATGATGAACTTTCAGAAAGAGAAACTAAGAAAATAATCCATTTTCAATTGCCTTAAAAAAACCAACCAACCAACCAACCAACCAAACAAAGAAAAACAACCTAGGAATAAATTAAACCTAGGAGGTAAAGAAAATTATAAGATACTGAAGAAAGAAATTGAAGGTAAAAACAAATGCAAGCATTTACCGCGTTTATGGATTGGAAGAATATACATTATTAAAATGCCTATACTACCCAAAGAAATCTACACATTTAATGCAATTTCTGCCAAAATACCAATGGTGTCCTTCATAGAAGTAGAACAAAAAAATCCAAAAACTTATGTGGAACCACAAAAGACCTATATAGCCCCAGCAATCTTGAGAAAGAAGAACAAAGTAGGAGGTATCACACCAGCTAATATCAAACTATACTACAAGGCAACAATAATCAAAACAGCACGGTACTGACATATATACAGACATACAGATCAATAGAACAGAAGAGACAGCATGGGAATAAATCTATGCCTACATGGTCAATTAATATATGACAAAAAAGGCAAGAATATACAATGGGGTAAAGACAGTCTATTTAGTAAATGGTGTTAGGAAAATTGGACAGATATATACAATAAATGAACCTAGATCACCTTCTTACACCATATACAAGAATAAACTCAATATGGATTAAAAAGTTAAATGTAAGATTTAAAACCATAAAACTCCTAGGAGAAAAGATAGGCAGTCAAGTCTCTGACATTTCTCTTAGCAATATTTTTTCTGATATATCTCCTCGAGCAAGGGAAACAAACAAAAAGTTAACAGATGGGACTACATTAAAATGAAAAGTTTTTGCACAGCAAAGGAAACCATAAACAAAATGAAAACACAATCTAGTGAATAGTAGAAGACATTTGCCAATGATACATCAGATAAAGGATCCATAACCAAAATTCATATAGAACTCATACAAGTTAACACACACAGAAAGTCAATCCAATTAACAAATGAACAGAAGATCTGAATACACAGTTCTCCAAAGAAGACATACAGATGGCCAACAGACATATGAAAAGATGTTCAACTGTCAGTAATCATAGAAATGCACATTAAAACCACAGTGAGGTATCACCTCACACCTGCCAGAATGGCCACCATCAATACATCAAGCAACAAGTGTTGAGAGGATGTAGAGAAGAGGGGACCCTCCTGCACTGCTGTTGGGAATGCAGACTGGTGCAGCCACTGTGGAAAGCAGTGTGGAGGTTCCTCAAAAAATTAAAAGTGAAGTGCCTAATGACTGGGAATGTGTCCAAAGAAATCCAAAACATTAATAAAAAAAATATATATATATGCACCCATGCTCATTGCAGCGTTATTTATAGTAACCAAGATATGGAAGCGACTCAAGTGTATACCAATTGATGAGTGGATCACGAGGTTTTGGTACATGCCCTGGCCAGTTTGGCCCCTGCGGACCAAAGAGTCACGGCTTTGATTTTGGTCCAGGGCACGTACCTTGGTTTTAGTTCAGTCCCCGGCCCTGGTCAGGGTTGTGTGGGAGGCAACCAATCCATGTTTCTCTCTCATATGAATGTTTCTCTCTCTCTCTCTCTCCTCCTCCTCCCTCCCACTCTATCTAAAGATAAATGGAAAAAAAATATTCTTGGGTGAGGATTTAAAAAGAAAAGAAGTTTTGGTACATATATGCAATGAATATTACTTGGTCATAAAAAAGAATGAAATCTTACAATTTGCAACAACATGGATGGACATAGAGAGTATTGTGCCAAGTGAAATAAGTCAGCCAGAGAAATATAAGTACCATATGATTTCATTATATGCAGAATCTAAAGAACAGAATAAACGACCAAATAAAATAGAAACAAACTCATAGATAAGCTAACAAAGTGATGGTTGCCAGATGGGAGGGTATTTGGGGGCTGGATAGAAAGGTGAAGGGATTAAGAAGTACATGTTGGTAGTTACAAGACAGTCATGGGGATGTAAATTTCAACATAGAGAAGATAGTCAATAATATAATAACTATGTATGGTGCCAGGTGGGTATTTAAATTATCAGGGGGATCACTTT